ATAATGGACTTTCACAATAGAAATATCATGCAATTTAGAGATATTACATGGAATGATCAAACCTTTGTAACATCTTCAGAAAGTTTTATGCGAGGCTGATTGTTTATTTCCACTAACTTAAAAACAACACCTAGAGCAGGTTGAGCATAGCATGTAACCAAGTGAGTTCCAATTCCAAATGCATCAACTTCATGACCCTGCACCCCAAATAAATAAAAGTCGGCAACTGCAAAATATACAAGCCATGACCTGCAAATATTTAGGTAGAATGGAAAAATTGAAATGACACACCTCTCTCCTTCACTCCCATTCCCCCACAAAGTAGCCTGAGGGTGGGTGGGGAAGGGATTGTGGATTTAGAGCAGAATGGTGGAAATGGGAAGAAAAGAAAATATATTTTTGTAATGCATTGTTCAGAAGATCTAAGAAGGTAGGGAGTTGGGACATGTACAAAAGCTTGTTCAGCTATATTTTTTGAAGCTTAGAATAACTTTTGAGTTCTTGTCCCTTTTTAGCATTATAAAGAAAACTAACTGATGATAAAAAAAATGCAAGCTACTCATAGACCATAGAACTAGAGAATCTATTTCACTTTATTCTTGTTCATGGCGGTTCTTTTTCATCTAAACTGGATAAATAGGTAAAAAAATTTACATTCCAGAGCTTAATTAACGTCTCTTCCACAACTGCCAAATGGGCATGTTGGGCAACTATTAAGTGATTATGTATGTGAAATGATATATATTTTTTAAAATAATTAGTTAAATCAGTAAAAGCACTACCAGATTATTAGTTCCATAAATGCAATCGAAGGGAATACCTCAATGCTAAAAACGAGACGAAGTGAACTAGACTGAAATGATGCATGGCCCAATTACATTTCAAAAATGATATATAAATAGGTCGTGAGAAGCCAAGTACGTGTCCATAGTCAAACTTTTCCACCACTCAAATCCCAAAAAATATAGGAAAACAAAAAATATGTACGCACCAAGTGGATTTAACCCCTGTTTGGTTCAGATAAAAAAAAAGATTAAGAAGTATGTGTATAGTCAGCTGAACATAGACGATATAGAAATTTCAAAGTTTCATAATTTGCACTTGCCCCAAGGATGTGAAAAGTTACAATGAGGTAGTACTGAACCTTTGGACGGTTAAAGCAATTCTTTTACCTGTTTGTTTAAAGCATCTAATGTTTCTTCATTAAGGTCATTACTAGCTGTAATGCTTGTATTTCCAAAATCAGGCACTCCAAATTCCTTCTCAATAGCCCGAAAGAATTTCCGGGCCTCACATGACAGATAGGCAAGATCACCAGAGTCTAATCTAATGCCTACAGCTTTATACCTGCACAAGAACATTTTAAAAAGGTATATTAAAAAATAAACACAGAAGTCCAATAGTCCTTGGGGTGCTTTGGGGGTCTGGGGTAATGGTGAAGCCAGGTGCTTGGAAACCGCCACATAACTGTTTGATTTGTGAGCATACGGAAAAAGTAAATTCACGCGAAACAAATAAGAAAGCTTTAATATTGAGAACTGAAAACGATCTAACCACTCCGAGTTGTTTCAAACAACCAAATCACAAAATTAAGAAGCAGAAGAACTAAACCCAGATAAGACCCTAATTACATTTATATTCACAAAAAGACCGGGCAGGTTTGTGGTTGATTCGGACTTGGGGTGGGGGCTATTTTTTGGGTAAGGAAAGAAAGGAGGAGAATTCTCAAAAGATTATGCCTCTCCCTTAAATGCACCATTGTGCATATAAACGTAATGATACAACAACAACAAACCAAGGCTTATTATCATAAATTTGAGCTGGATATGTGAATAAGTTTTGCCACTCTTTCAATCTGCCACTAAAAGATGCAATAAGAGTAATAACGTTGAGAAAATTTTCAGAATAGTTTGATCTTACACATTTCAACCATATTGTGAACCTAAAAAGAAAGTGAATACTAATGCATATATCAGTAGTTTGGTAAAAACACCGTGCTAACTTGAATACAATCATTTTCAGCACGTAAATCAACATATGAGTAAGTCGTCCAGACATACCCTAAATCTTTTAGCGCTAGAGCAACTGCACAAAAATTAGGAATACCACTTTTCAAAACCTGTCATGGTTGATAATGAAAGAAACATTAAAGGCAATAACATAAAACCAATATGAAATAGAATCAGTGCAGCTACCAAGAAGTAAAATTTAAAGGGAGATGCTACGTGTATACAATGGTGTACACACGGCTTTACACCCCCCTCACATGGAGGGAGGCCCACACACAATAAAATATTTGTGGGCCCCTCCATGTGAGGGAGGTGCAATCCATTAGCTCCATGTGAGGGATGTGCAATCCATTAAGTAATGGATTAGGTGTACATCTAGCACAACCCTAATATTTATGAATGGAGGTTCTTCTCGCTTGCTTAAATTCACTAAACAAAACCTCACCACACATATTTCTCTCTCACCACCTCCAATCTTTCTCTACCCTCGAAGAAATCATCGGAGAAAATACATAATACGCACATAAGATTTTCTTCCNGGGCCCCTCCATGTGAGGGGGGTGTAAAGCCATGCGTACACCATGAGGTGTACACATAGCATTTTTCAAATTTAAATTATGCCTAGAAAGAAAACCTATGAAATGCAGCAATTTCAACAACAATTCAAAGTATTCACACAGGTTCACAATATATAGTCTTCGACCTAATCAAGATATGAGCTGTTTATTTAGCAATATTTCAAAGCAGTAGTTATTAAATTTTCTTTTACAGAAAGAATATAAAGGCAAAGCAAGAACAACAGTCAAAAGGAAGTAAACACAAATGGTAGTTCAATGAAAGTATAACTAACAATACAGGAACTTTGAGAATTTTTCATAAGATAAAACATAAACAGTACACCAGAAGGAACTCTTACTATGACTTCGAAAACTCTTCAAGTTCTCGGCTTCAAGATTATTATAGATTTTTTAAGACATGCTAACTACTAATTGAACCATTGAAGTTGAAAGACTACATCAGGCTCCTCAATCAATAAGTGAGACAATACGACCAAGTAATAATAATCCCACTTTATAGCACACATTAATAAAACAATTCATTCACTTCTTGGAAAGCAATAATGCAAAGATGAGAAAGAAGATGAACCAGATCTGAACATGGTTCCAGTAGTATAAGCAATTGAAGGAAATAGCCAAATAAAAAACATGGAGTTCTAAATGACAAATTGAA